CGTGGCCCTGGCTGGCTTGGAGCCCATCGCGGAGGAGAAGAAGGACGCGGAAGGGGACTCCGTGACCGATACGCTCGATACGGATAGGCAGTGATTGCTATAGAAAAAGGGGAAACAGGAGACTAAGAGAGGCGAAGAAAGGGAGAGAAAAAGAGATAAAGGAAGATAAAATTGCCTTTGTTTTAAGGCCTCGATACAGATAGGCAGTGATTGCAGTAGGAAAGAGGAAATGGGGACTAAGAGAAACGAAGTAAAGGGAGAGAGAAAGAGAGAGAAAGCAAGATAGAATTGCATTTTTTGCCTTTTTCTTTGGAAACAGAATTTGTGACCGATACGCTCGGTACAAATAGGCAGTGATTGCGATAGGAGAGAGGAAACGGGGACTAAAAGAAACGAAAATGGGAGAGAAAGAGAGAGAAAGCAAGATAGAATTGCGTTTTTTGCCTTTTTCTTTGAAAACAGAATTTGTGACCGATACGCTCGGTAGTGATTGCGATAGGAAAGCGGAAACGGGAACTGAGAGAGACGAAGAAAGGGAGAGAAAGAGAAAGGAAGATAAAATTGCCTTTTTTTGGGGGGGGGAATACAGAATTTGTGACCAGTACGCTTGATACAGATATGCAGTGATTGCGATAGAAAAGGGGAAAAGGGGATTAGGAGAAACGAAGAGGGAGACGGGGACTACGAGAAAAGGAGGAAAAGAAGAGAAATAGAGAGAGAGAAAGAAGAAAAATAAGCCTTTTTTTTGAAGGAGAATTTGATTAATACGCTCGATACAGAAAGGCAGTGATTGCGATAGAAAAGGGGAAACGGGGACTAAAAGAAACGGAGAAAGGGAGAGAAAGAGAGAGAGAGAGGAAGAGATAAAATTGCGTTTTTTGCCTTTTTTTTTAAACAGAATTTGTGACTGATACGCTCGGTACGAATAGGCAGTGATTACGGTTAGTGCTTTCGATGAAAATAGGGGAAGATTGAAAGAAGAAAAAGACAAATTAAAAGATAATGGGGAAGAAAGAAAGAAGAAAAGGATAAATGGAAAGAAAGTATGAAAAAGAGAAAGTAGAAAGGGATAGATGAAAAGAAAGGGGGGGGGGGAGAGAGAAAGAAGAAAGGTTAGATTAAAAGAAAGGGGAGCAGAGAGAAAGACTGAAAAAGAAGGAAAACTTGGAAGGAGATAGAATGGCAAAAACTAAAAAGAGAAACATAGAGAGAACAATTGAAAGAAAGAGAAAAAAGAAAGAGAGAAAGGAGAAAAGAGTGAAAGAGAAATAGAATACTTTGATCAGATGCTTAAGTGAATAAAAGTAAATGGGGAATTTTAAAAAGAGAAATGACTGCCGATGTAAAGAAATAGCAAAAAAACTGAAAAAAGTAGTTTAATCCGGTGCTTTTGCTGAATAAAAAGGAAAGCGAGAATTTTGCAAATAACTATGCCTGGTGCTTATGATAAAAATGGCTTGCTCACTGTAAGTTCCTTTTTTAGGCTAAAGTGTAGCAGAGATAATCAATATAAGACAACGCCTTGGTTACAAAAAAAAAAATGCTTACTATTGTCAGATAAACATCACTTTATACCAATTAAACTTGAATTGTAGTACCTATAGTTATATATCTACCAATAACGGACAAAACCGCATCGCAGACTCTATCTAATAGGGTAATGCTTAGACTTTATAGATTCCAATCCTCTTATAAAGGGATTGAAATATATTACGCTCATTTATTCTTCCATGGACTGTGTGGCACGATGTTCAGATGATGTATAAGTATCTGATTGTAGGTTCGTAATATTCGATAATGTTATAAAATAGATGTTTAGTTTCATGTCTCTCAAAATATGAAGAAGAAAAAGGAGAATGAGAATGAAGAGGAGGAGGAGGAGGATGAGGAGGGGAAGAAGAAAATTAGAAAAATAAGGAAAAGAAGTCACATATATATATATATATATATATATATATATATATATATATATATATATGTATATATATATATATATATATATATATATATATATATATATATATATATATATATGTATATACATATACATAATATACACATATATATGTACACACACACTCATACACACACACACATACATATATATGTGTGTGTGTGTGTTGTTTGTGCGTGTTTGTGTGTGCGTGCGTGTGTGCATGAGAAAGTGTGTGTGTGTTCACCAATGGGAGTGTCGTAAGATAGTGTTCAGTACAAATCACTTCAGGATTTGAAATGCATCATAACGTATTGATATGCCAGTAGCTAACATATACTAAATCACTATTACGGTATCAGCAATTATATTTTGTTACCAAGACACAGTATTTAGTAACGATAATGATCACAATGTTAATGAAAAATAATAATCAAATACAGAAATAGTAGTAACATCAATTACAATGCTATCACTATACTACAGTAGTAAATAATTCCTTATCATTAATATCAGCATCATTATTGCAAGATCAACACATTATCACTTATGATAAAACTGCATACT